CTCAGCAAGAAGTAATAATTTGACACCCACATAACCACCTAGTGAAAACAACTTAATTTAGCAGTTCAAAAAGGAAAAACAAACCTGTGACAGATGGGCGTTTTTTACTACAAATTACCGGATCGATCGTTGATACCTTTGCATACCACGTAGTGGCGCATCAATTAATCCCATGCGAAAGCATTCAAATACTTCAAACAAATTTGTTTTCATTTGCCCTGCCATTCGCCTAGTATATAACTATGCACCAGACGGATTTTATACTAACGCCTGGTTCATAAAACGACCGTACTTGTACACCGCAAACGTGACTGGATTGCTGCAGATGTGCTGTGAAGTGAATATACTACGTGGTTATCCTATATGAATTTTCTAATTGCGCATTGAATTAATTTATGATTGCATACGTACATGCATACATACATGCCTTTATAAATAGTCTTGTTCATCAACAGACATGGTGTATTCAGGCATATTCACGTGAGTTTTTAAGCATCTCGTTGTTGGTTAGAACCGCAAAATATTTGTTACTTAATGTCTGCAGATGTGAAAAGAAAGTCGTACCAACAAGTCTTAAGAAATATATTCTACTCTCTGATCCACATGTATAGGCTGTTCACGGTAGAATGAGCACTTTAGAAAGCCCTGCTTAAGATCAACTTGTATGCACGCTGTGTGTTCTTCCGCCGTATGCCAAACTAACAATGCTGTAGGTCTCATCACTTTATTCATGCGTTGGTCAAGTGAAACAGAAATTATCAGAAAAGTAAGTAAATATTGTACAAATATGCTCATTTTTACTCTTCGATGAGTTAAAAAATACAACTAGCGAGAGAAATAATTTAAGTTATCACAAATAGTTACCTAACACTTTTTTTTCGACGTAAATATATGGAACTACTTTCCCCTCCATCGTTGCCAATTTTACTGGACACATGTCACTCGTTGCGTCCGTTAAAATGTATGCGAGTAGGGGCAGTGACTTTTTCCTAAGGTTGATTTCAGAAGTGCTCACTTTATCGTGAACAACCTTTAATGAAAAGCACACAGTAGTTTTTTACGTGTCTATTAATTTTGTCGTATACAATCACGCGTGTTTTGCGATTCCACTAGTTCATGTAAGTCGTAATTGCCACAAAAACAAGCCTGCGAGTAAAAAAATTATATTTATTTAACTGTTTATTAACCGTATTTATTAATGTGAATTTTGTAATTTCGCCCCAAGTCAACTATTCTGGAAGGCACACATAATGATGATTATTGGAATGTACTACAGCCATCGGGAAAATGCCGAGTCAGTACTGAGTAGCCAAGGATAGACAGTGTTTCTGTGGCGAGTGGTTGATTGTCACCTTCACCCGACATAAGAAAGTTCATTGGTTCGATCTTAGGATAAAACTTATTTTTATAGAGTAAATAATAAATTATCAAGAACATGTTTCGGATGTCAATATAAATTCTTGCGTTTATAAAAATATACATATTAACTGACACTCATTTAATATATGTTGTGAATGAATGTGAATGTTGTTTAACGTAATGCCTCACGTACATATATAACATTCTGTAATTAAATATTTTTCTATTTTTATGTATAAAACTGTATCTTCCTTTAAAAATAAAATAGTTACTGATAACCACACACTTCTATAGAGTTAGGCTTTATAGGAAGGACCCACGGTGCCTGAGCGGCTAGACCACTCGCCTCCCATCAAGGCGAACAGGGTTCTATTCTCGGCGGGGTCGCTCCCAGATTCTCGCACAGGGGAATCGTGCCGGGACAATGAGTTCCCCTCGCCCTTTCATTCCAGCGCTGTTTCATTCTCACCTCACTTCACCCTCATCGGCCCTCAAGACCTCGGTGTGCAGAGCCACCCAAATCTCTCCACTCCACCAGTCAAGGGCCTGGCAACTTACCTGCCAAACGGGAATCCAGCCAATACGCAATCTTCAGCAGCATGCAGTAGCCAATCAGACTCAATGCCCGTTTCACAGCCTTCACACGCAGCCAGTCAGCGAATGAGCGCGCCCGTATCAAACGAACCGCCTTGCAATTCCAGTCCTGTTTTAATTATCTACAGTAAATTAATGACCATGTGCAGCTTTTCTGAAGTTCTGTTAAAGTTCTACTTTTATAATATTCCTCCACTTCATTGAAACAAAGTTTAACTACAACTGAAGAATTACACAAAAGGGACAACGCACAGCATTCGTGCGCTCTCAGTTTGATAATATTTTAGATGTGAACTATTTCTTACCAGGCATTAACAGAACAGTTATATTCTCTCTGTTTTTATTCGTATTAATTATAAATATTATATTATAATTCATAAGTTAAGTTCAATTTAACCAAATTTTCTTTCGTGTTAAAATAAGTATGAAACTCTTGTGATATTAGGAAACAACCAAACACGTCAGGGCTTTTTTTCTTCAAAGTTTTGATTTTAAAAAACGTGAAGAAACAGTGAATATACTATACTTAGGGATAGGAAAATATCGCGAATTCATCTCGGGTCAAGATAGACGTCAAGCACATATACAGTGAAGTCGCCTTCGCAATTGGATGACAGTTTATTAGACCCGCCCTGCACGCCTCTGAGCAGGGAAACACCTTGCAAATCCCGTAACTGCCAGGTGTGGGGCAACGGCCAACGAACACACAGCTGAGGCTCCGATATGCAGAGGACTGAGGAGTCTAGCCTACAAGTCATTGAACTCGCGAAAATGTTCCTATCCCTAGCTATACTATGTGACTGGTTTGCATCACCGCCGGAGGCGAACGGCTTGGTGGGTGAAGACCTGGAGGTGTCGGCAATGGCCGCGAACACACGGTAAGCTCCACGGGCCGGCCCCAGCCCGTCCAGTTTTGATGATACATGCACCGTTAAAGATAATTTCCTTCATTTTACGGAAAAGTGCTGGTAAAAATTTATCCGTAGGTGTCCGTAAACTCTCCGTAAAATTACGGACACATTGATTTTCAAAAACGGATATTCTGTCAAATTCACGGAACCTCTCCGTTAATTCTCTAGTTGAATTTCTGTACTTTAGTTTATAAACACGTGAGTGTTCTACTGTGTATAAAGAAAATATTTAAAAAGTTAAAATGTTTTTATACTTAAGGAAGATTTGAACGCGAGTCAAAAAAAGATACGAGTTCACGAGCGTAGCCACTTACCTACAACGCTCACGTGGTAAATCTGGTATAACTTTTGAATTTCTTGTTAATCACATAATCAACTTTTTTTTTTTGTTTCTGTTGAAGTTAGTGTATTTTAAGTGTTGCTAAGTATTACATACGCCTGTTGTTACTTTTAAATGTTTGATAGAACACGTCTTAGCGACATGGATACCCTTTACTGCCGCAGAAACGAAAATTTTCTGGTTACAGTGGCAAAGAAAGCTTCGTGTAGACTCGCCATTGTTCGTCACCGAAATCCGAAGTTATAGGAAACACGGAGATTTTCCGTATTTTGTAGTTATTCACTTAACCCTGTTTTTTGTCATTACGGATTACATTTCCGTATATTTGCTGTGTATTTTCGTAAACATTTCCGTGAATATACGGAAAATTTTAACAGTGTGGAGAGACATTGGGCAGCACACACGGGCACGGGCCGGGCACCCGTTAACAGTGAATAGAGTATTTTTTGAAATCAACCGTTGAAAAGTGTCACTGCTCCTAGTTGCATATACTTTTACTGACACACTGACTACCATGCGCCCAGTAAAATTGCTAACGACGATGGAAGGAAACTAGTTCCATGGCTTAACATTGAATTGAAAGTGTTAGGTAAAATGTGTAAGTATATAATTATTTATTTTGTTTTCTGGTTTTTTAATACATACAAGAGTAAGAATTAGTATTTTTTCCAAATATTTAATTTTTATAATCGTTTCACTGTTTTACTTGTCAGGCGCATGAACAAAGTGATCAGGATTATTACAGTGTTAATTCTGCATATGGTGGACGAATACACAAGATGTAAGAAAAGAGATCTTATGCAGGGCTTTCAATAGTGCTCAGTTTACTGTGAACAGCCTCTACCTGTATGCACTGTAAGAAATGTCGTATGCTTTTACAAAATAAATATTTGGAAAATAGTTGCGAAAACTTTCTATTTGATATTACAAATAAATTTTTGTAAACTTTGAATGAAATTGGCTGAAAAGTGTACACGATATATTCAGTATTTGTACAAAAAGTACTGTAACCTACAGACGGATATCCTGTAGAATTAACAACAACGTGCGTGCAGTAATTCTACCCTACCCAACTACGACTTGGAAAAATCCCTAGTGGGGAAACGGGGATTTAACCCAGATGTACTATTTAAGAAGTAAGTACACCCTCCTCTTCGCCAAAGATGAATCCGTATATCATGTTCCATTTTAAAACCTTATAGATCCTTTCAATAATTTAAACTTGTGTTAGTATGCAGTATTTTACCTTCGATATAGAACAACAGTAAGATTTACTGAGCTTGCGGTGGAACTTGAATTAGACACTTCATTACAAGGGGTACGTTGGTCCCACGTAAAAATAGGTAATTTTGTAAATACGGGGGGGGGGGGGGGGAATTGAATGCTGCCGACAACTGTAGAATTTTTCTAAGTGTCTTTATTATCTTTATGGTGGCATTTTGTTGCTAATTTCTGTCAGTTATCTTTTACCGTTAAATTCGTAGGCATGCAAAGTTCTGCAAGACGGAAATTTCGTAGAATTAACTTTCCTTGCAAGCAAGTTTATTACACGTGTTTATGCATTATTTGTTCCGTATAAAATGAGAAATAAACTGATTAAAGTATATAACGGTTTACGTATCATTACTACGCTGAACTCCCTTGTTAAAACGAAAGTACGTCATTCTAAAGCGGAAAATTACATCACCGTTTCAACTATTATAATATTTCCTTGCACTATTTCGTATTTCAAACTAAGGAAAAATAATTTACTTTGGAAAGTGTGGAAATCATTTTTCAAACGAAAAAAATAAAGTTGTTTCCAACCGGGATCGAAGCGACGACCTTCTGCGTGTTAGGCGCATATGACAACCACTACATCACGGAAAAGTTCAGAAATAAGCTCTCTTCAAAAGATTTTGTAGAAGTATTTGTAGTTATTTTGTTCTACTGTAATGCTTTTTATGCCCGGGCGTGAGAATACTGGTCCCGGATAAGTAAAAAAAAAAAATCTACAGTGCGGTTAAATGTAGACGTTTGTTTTGCACTTACTTGTCTCATATCAACTTCTCTCGTACCAAAACGTTGAAATTTAACACATTTAATACTTATTTTTAAATTTTTTACATCCTCCGCCTTTTACAGCAGAAAATCAAACGTAGTAGCAACTCTATCTGACAAGCTCCACCGCATTTATACTCGTGGGGCAATGTATGAGACCCGCATTGCGGACGTGGTGCATTCAAATCCTACCTACCGCTGTCTGATAGTGAGATTGGGTGACATCTTTCTTAGGGGAATGGCTAAAGGTGATTTATTTCCAACCCAACAAAAATACCACGCTATACCGTATTGAATACAAAACGAATTTAAGTATAAACCGCAAGTTTCACTTATACTTGTAGATTAATTATTTTTTTTTATAAATGTTATTTTCTTGTCCGTCCAGGACTATTTAATTAGCGGTATAGGCCTACGCCCATACGTAAACGCGCAGAACTTTTGAATACAATTACCTAATGTGACATCAACTGTAATTACCACTATAGTGAAACTTGTAGTAAAATAATATATTATTTCATTTATTACATACATGTGAACGTAAATTTAAATGTCGTATAAGTGAACCACGACGTTGTAATGGGCGAGAATAGCCTGTCAAGCGTTGCAGTTGTTTGTAATTTGCGCTGAAAGTGATTAATACCAACATATTAACTATATTAAAAATAATATTTCTTCCGACATCAATAAGCGAGTTTCCATCAACCTCAAGATAGCTGTTTCTACGTGTGAAAGTAAAATACATTACTTCACTCATAACAGTTTCGTTTTCTAATGTCTTCAAGTTTTACTTCAACTGACCTTAGTAAGCAAGAACAACAAGAACAAATACGGTTGAAAAAAGTCCCTGTCCCTAAACCGTACAAGAATATTACAGATGGGGCGATCTTGTACTCCAGATATTTTTAACGTTATTTTTACGTTAACGTTTAAAATAATGAGGTGAATTTTGAAGTCATGTTACGTTTAATGCGAATGTAATGCCCCTACTCAGTTTCTCAACACGCCTGTTGTATTTAGATCTCCATTATCGTTACAAATTTTTGTAATTGTATTTATGACTAAAAATATAGTTTGTACAGTACAAGTACCTACTCTTTCCCTATTGCAGAGAAAAAAATTAAACACTGTTCGATCGCCATGCAACTTATGTGGCGACGGATCCTGGTTTCGAATCTCGTGTAAGATAATGTGTGTGCCGTTTCTAGATCTAAATTTCCATTATTCAAACCTGCGTGTAGCATGAAAGGATATAGAGGCTGTTCACAGTAAAACGAGCACTTTTGAAAGCCCTGCTTATGATCTATTTGTATCTACGTTGTGTGTTCTTCCACCGTAAGCAAAATTATCATTGCCATGCGTCTTATCACCTTATCCATGCGTCGGTCAAGTGAAACTGTGGAATTATTATAAAAGTAAATGTTATATATACTGCTCGTTTTTACACTTCGGTGCATTAAAAAAATAAACAGAAAGCAAAAGACATATTTTAATTTATCACAAAAGGTTACCTAACAATTTTTATTCGACGTTAAGATATGGAACTACTTTCCATCCATCGTCACCAACTTTACTGGGTGCATGCTACTCAGTGCACCCGTTAAAATATATGCAGGCAGGGGCAGCGACTTTTTTGTAAGGTTCATTTCAAAAGTGCTCATTTTATCGTGAACCGCCTTTAGCAAGAAAATTTACAAGGGTCACAAACCAACGCGTACTTGAGCGTTATTGCACAGTGTATTTTTCGGTATGAAACGATCATAGTGGGAAATGTTTCTCAATCGTTTTGGAAACTACCTCCTGTATCATGTCACTCATGAGCAGATTATTAATTAATTCCTCCGCGTCCAATTCGTACTTAGGATTTCTAGTAGTTACAAGGCATTCACACCCACGTGGTAAATTTTATTACTGAAAAAGAAAAGGTTTACGTTCGTCACTGAGTTTTAACAGACTTGCCATGGTTTTCATACGGCTCTGTGAAGAATTCGACTACACAGATTTTATTTACTGAACAAATGTACAACAGTATAATAACAATCGACAATAAGCCAATTATTCATAAGCATGTTAGAAATCATCAGTTCCATGTTACTCGACAGCACTCTGGGCAAGCAAATCAACAATGACGTTTATTACATCCCCTATCCCACACTCATCATAACCCAGCTCACGTGTAGGATCGCTTACGTGGTCGAGATTAACGCATAGTTACCTTCGTTTCGAAGCACGGTGTTTTGGTTCGAGTCCTAAGTAAGCCAGGTATGTATGGGTGCCTTTTATGATGCTATGTTTAGGTTAGGTTTAGAGTGTAAACGCCCCCAGCTACCCTTCCCAAGTACGGTAGCTTGCCGAAAGGCACAAAATCCGACACTTAAATAAGCACCAGTTTAATAAAGATGTATGCGATGACCAGAATTTCCGCGGGCATTGCACCCGGCCATCAACATTCATCTATCATTTCAACTTTTCGTCAGAATACCTCCAGAACATAATACGTACATGGTAACAGAGCACGGGTTTTTAAGAATACTGACCGATTACTGTTCCAGCTTTTTCATGCACGCGGGAGAAATTTGTGAATTTACATACAGGAATTTGGCCTAAACCGGTTTAAAATTAAGTTCTTCTAGCTGCAGAGGAAAATAATGCAAATTGTTGAGACAAGTACTGTTATTTTTCTGCAATTAGGAGAGAAGTTTATGCAGAAACCCAGAATCTAACGTCAAGGCGGAGCAAACCTCTGTGCTCATGAGTATAGGTAAAGGCATAACAATTTAAAATAATTTTAGACACAAAATAAATTTGGGAAGTGTGCAAGTCAGAAGTAATGGAAAAATAAGGAGACACTTTTGTATGAAACAAATTTTATTCAAAATTAATTATTTTTATCGCGGATTATCTTTAAATAGGAAAGTTCTGTTTGTGCAGTACTATGTGTATTATTGTTACTGTGACTCTTATACACATTAGCAAACCAGATGATCATATTAAGGCTCTCGCCGCCTGGAGCTGTTTTCCGCGTTTGAGGCTGTGAAGCGCGGGTCAGTAAGGACGATGCTGACACGAGCATCAAGTTCTCCATCGCCCCTATGCGCAAGGCTCTGAACTGGCGTGCAGTGTTTTCGTGCTGCGTATACCTATGGGACGTTAAGCGGCGACCCTTCATTTCATTGGTGGGAAATGTGTAACAAGGTACAGTGCAGGGCTCTTGAGTAGTTTTGTATATATCTGACGCGTATATTTACAGATACAGCGTGGCGCTTTGAAAAAAAAATACTGCTTTTGTCTATGTTGAAGCGTTCCGAAGTGGTATTTCTAATGTGCGTGATATTTCAAAGGAATTCAACAGGCCTCATCTGGAATGTGTTCTTTTCGTCATCACGTTAGGCGCCCATTCTAAGAAATTATTCGCAAATTTACCATACCAGCGTGTAGGTAGGCTATAGTGGGAAAGTAATGTTTTTACATTTGCTTAGGAAACGATCGAATGCGCAGAGAAATTACCAACTTTGTATAGTAGTGACGCTCAATATTCCAGCGACCACGGTGTTGTAGTGGTTAGACTACTCGCCTCCCACCTAGACGAACCGGGTTCGATTCCCGGTGGGGTCGCGCCCGGATTTTCGCATGTGGAAATCGTGCCTGACGATGCTTCTGGTTAGCCTGATTTTCTCGGGGATCTCCCGTTTCCTCCGCTCCTTCATTCCGGCGCTGCTCCATACTCACTTCGCTTCACCCTCAACGGCTTTCACGACCGCGATGTTTAGGGTCACCCGAATCTCTCCACTCGACTTCGTTAAAAGTTCCTGTATTTGCAACCCGATACGTAGTGTTATTTTCATAAAACATATGCCTTAAGAACTTGCTTTACAGTTTAGGAATTTTCCTAGGGGATGGATTTTAACAGTGTGTTACGCAGGCGCCCAGGGCAGAGGCGCCGAGGCCTAAAGCGAGCAGAAGAGGTGCGGTGTGCGGTGTTTGGGAATATGTTTTATAAACAGGGGTCGGCAGGAAGAAAGGAAGCCAAAGGGTGCCCGTATATAAGAGGGTGTGTGAGGAAGACACGCCTCCCCCCCCCCCCCCCCCCGAGGTCCGCAGGACGCAGCGATGTCGACGGGGCCTAGGCATCTGCAGAACGAGTCTTCTGAACTAATACAGTAGAAAGTGAAAACCCTACTTACGTAAGCACGAGGCGGGACTGTCAAACTTAAGCGTAGGCTGCATTATTACTAAGTTTGGTTAGCTTAAAATAGAGAGGTTTCCGTCAGCATTAATTATTGGACAGAGCATCTGATAGTAATTGTCTTAACGCGTACGAGCATCTGTCATTGATTGTAAGAGAAGTGCTGTATCGTTTGTGAGTTAATAAACCAGTGGGTCTTGTGTAGTGCAATCTGGTTGCTTGTATTGATGATCAGTAAACCCCCCCTTCAGTTAGGAATAAATTAATTGTACGTTAGTAGGGCATAACGTAACAAGTGCAAGTTTAATATCTTCGTGGACAAACGTGTAGTTCAAGAGCTAGGGTTGATGGCCTGACATAAAAATTCAAGGTATCTTCGACGGTTTAACACCACAACCTGTCCCGAAAACTCGCAAGTGCCTGCGAAGCTGTCATCTCACACCTGGAGGAGCTTTATTCAATTTATCCACTATACAGTATACGGTTGATGCCACAAACTAAATAATATGGATGTTGATTTTAATCCCGTGCCAACCCCACACGAATCTGCAGACAAACAGTCAAAATCAGATGACCAGACAATGATGTGTACGTTTGTTTACTTTTCGTTCTGTTTCATATAAAATAATATTCAACGGACCAA